TAGAAACCAGAATCCAACAATATGTTGTTTACAAGAAACACATTTGAAACAGAGAAACACACACAGAGAAAAATAAGTGGCTAGAGTTGAATCTATTATGCTTCAGCTGAGGCATGATTTTAGACACACCAAAAGCAAAAATAAACTTAATTAAAAGAGATAAACAGGGAGACTATATTTGCTAAAAGGTACCATAGACAATGAAATAAGATGAGTGCTAAACATATACAGTGTGCACCATGTGACATAGCATCCAAATTCCTAAAGGAAAAGTTAAATGAGTTACATGAAGAAATAGACAATAAAATTATGCTAATAGGGAACCTCAACTTTCCCCTCTCAGAACTAGATAAATCTTACCATAAAATAAATAAGAAAGAAGTTAAGGAGATGAATAGAATTTTAGAAATTTTAGAAAAGTTAGATATGCTAGACCTCTGGAGAAAATTGAATGGAAGTAGAAAGGAGTATAACTTTTTCTCAGCTGTTCATGGCACTTTCACAAAAATGTATTAGGACATAAAAACCTTGCAACCAAATGAAGAAAAGAAGAGATATTAAATGCATCCTTTTTAAGCCATAATAAACCATAATGCAATAAAATAAAAATGCAATAAAAATTACATTCATTCAAGGGCCATGGAAACAGATTAAAATTAATTGGAAGCTAAATAATCTAATCCTAAAGAATGAATGAGTCAAAGAACAAAGAAATAATAAACAATTTCATTAAAGAGAATGACAGCAATGAGACAACATTCCAAAATTTGCAGGATGCAGCCAAAGTCATGCTTAAGGGAAAATTTCCATCTCTAAATGCATACATCAATAAAATAGAGAAAGAACAGATCAGATAAAATAGAGAAAGAGCAATGAATTGGGCATGTAATTGAAACAAAACTAGAAAGAGAACAAATTAAAAATCTCCAATTAAACACCAAAATGGAAATCCTGAAAGTCAAAGGAGAGATCAATAAAATTGAAAGTTAAAAAAAATTGAAACAATAACCACCACCATGAAGATGAAACTAAAGTAATTGTTAGGAGCTATTTTGCCTAATTATATGTCAATAAATCTGACAATCTAAGTGAAATGAATAAATATTTACAAAAATATAAATCATCAAGATTTACAAAAGAGGAAATACTTAAATAATCATATCTTAGAAAAATTGAACAAGTCATCAATAAGCTCCCTAAGGGAAAAAAAATACTAGATAGACTCATAAGTGAATTCTAATAAGCATTTAGAGAACAATTAATACCAGTATTATATAAACTATTTGAAAAAATAAGCAAAGGAGTCCTACCAAATGCCTTTAGTGACACAAATATGGTGCTAATACCTAAACTAGGAAGAGCAAAAATAGGGAAAGAAAACTATTGACCAATTTTTCTAATGAATATTGATGCAAAAAATTTAAATAAAATGCTTGTAAGGAAATTACAGCAATATATCACAAAGGTCATACACTATGACCAGGTGGGATTTATACCAGGAATGCAGAGCAAGTTCAATATTAGGAAAACTACCATCTCAGAAACAAAAAATCATATACTTTTATCTCAGTAGATGCAGAAAAACTTGACAAAATAAACTTATGACTATTAAAAAACACTAGAAAGTATAAGAATAAAGGGAGCTTTCCTTAAAATGATAATATCTATCTAAAACCAAGAGCAAGCATTATCTGAAGTGGAGATAAACTGGATGCCTCCCCAATAAGATTAGGAGTAAGGATGCCTTTTATCATCACTATTGTGCAATATTGCTTGCCATAGTAATAAGACAAGAAAATGATATTGAAGGAATTAGAATAAGCAACGAAGAAACAAAAGTATCACTCTTTGCAGAGTATATGATGGTATACTTAGAGAATCCTAGAAGATCAACTAAAAAACTCATTGAAACAGTGTTTCTGGATATAAAATAAACCCACATAAATCATAAGCATTTCTATATATTACCAAGAAAGCCCAGCAGGAAGAGGTAGAAAGCTAAATTCCTTTTTAAGAAGCTACAGATGATAGAAAATGCTTGGGATTCCATCTGCTAATATACACCCAGGAACTATAGGAACGCAATTACAAAACATTTTTCATACAAATAAGACCAGAGCTAAACAATTGGAGAATAGTAATTGCTCATGGGTAGGCTGAGCCAGTGTAATAAAAATGGCAATTCCGCCTAAGTTAATTTACTTACTGAATGCCATGTCAATCAAATTACCAAAAATTATTTTATAGAGCTAGAAAAAAATGATAACAATTCATCTGGAAGAGCAAAAGGTCAAGAAGATCAGGGAAATCAATGGGAAAAAATGTAAAGGAAGGTGGCCTGGTAGTACCAGATCTCAAACTGCATTACAAAGTGGTAATCATTAAAACAATCTGGTACTGGCTAAGAAATAGAGTAGTGGATCAGTGAAATACATTAGGTAAGCAATACACACTAGTAAATGACCATAATAATCTACCGTTTGATAAACCCAAAGATCCAAGCTTTTAAGACAAGAACTTACTATTTGACAAAAATTACAGAGAAGACTGGAAAGTATTTTGGCAGAAGCTAGGTATAGACCGACATTTCACACCATATATCAAGATAAGGT